ATCAACCAGCCTTGCAGCTTTGATATCATCTCTCTCTTAGGATCTCTTCACTCCAATCTCCTGTTTCTCCTAGTCCAAGCTTTTTTCTCTCTGGCTTTGCTGCCAGCTCCAGACCTTTTCTCTCTTCTACACCTCAGTCTTCCCCTCATCTCAGCTCTCAGTGTAAGGTTTTTTTCCTACCTATCAGAGTATCTGCTCTCACCTGACCCCCCAACGTACCTTACAGCTACACTTACAATATACACCTCTCCCCTTCTTCCCCCGCATCTCCCAAATCTGTCTCATGATTCAAGTAGTCAGTCCTACATTCCCAGTTATTCCTCAGCTCTTTCTCGCAATCTGTTTCATTCATGTTTTCCCCACTTTTGCATTAAAACCATGGAATTTGTTCCTACTCTTTGCATGCCATTCCCTCCCCATCGTGGATGACCCCTAAAACTGCATCCTGCTGCTCTAGTCTGGAGCCTCCTCACAGCTGTTAGCACCCAGGAACAGCAGCTGCAGGAACAAGAGGAGCTGCACCTTCTTATCACCCTTGAAACAGAGACACCCAGGGAGGACAGGACCCAGTGCTCATAGGCAGCTGTCTCTGAGTGGGGCTTCTCAGCCTCTCAGATAGCCCTGCTTCCCTCCATTACACAGGATTAACCTCATTAGGTGCCTAAAGTTTGGATGAGATCAACCATCTTCACAGCATGAAAATCTTGGTCAAAAAGTTTAAAGACAGGTAAACTGATTAAACTTCAAGAGGGTCTTACAGTGGAGGTCGTCAGGAAAACAAGGTATGTGTGCAGCACAGCTACTGGCTTAGTCAGCAACATGTCACTGTGAAGACTTACAGGGGGCTACGAGAAAAGTGAAGGCATTCCTCGTTTAATTTATTCCCTTCTGGGGATATGAGCTCAAAGGATGTCACAGCAACTGGTCTGTGATTTTAATGATGTATAGTGGCTTTCCAGGCTGTTACCTCTTGTTGACACAGCAAGTTTCTGTGGACATGCCATAGGATGTATAATGTTGCAGTCTTTTTGGCTGAATTCACAGACAGCAAATAGAAAGAATTGGGTCATACTATGCCATAGTCTGCCCTCTGGGATAAGGGAGTTTGGTTGGTCAGAAGCTACACAGATGGCTTTGAAATATTGCAGTAAGAGTTTCATACTCTGAGCACTGTTTCTGGCTTTTTGGATAACTGGAAATACTTGGCTTCATATGTCACCTAAGGTGTAGAAAGAGCACAGGACATATTGGCTTTTTAGGCAACACTTAGAAACCATTGTTATAACCTTACCCCACCCAAGTAAGTAAAACTACTTTTTTACGTGATTGTACGCCATCCCTTTATGCTGCAAAAGGAAGATGCAGGCTATGTGGCAGCTCAGAAATACACTTCCAATTCAGTTTTCTGAAGTTCCTACGGTCCCATTTCCCGAGAAGCTGTTATGACAAGTAAACAAGTTTACTCCATCACGTGTAGTACTGGCTGAAAATAAACAAAGAGCAAATGCAGCCTGACTTTGGCAGCCTGCTGCAAGATTAATTGGGCGAGACATACCAGCTCAAGAAATAAATTTTTGTTTGGACAGCTTCACTATGGGTAGGGATGATTTTACTTTGCTCAGCAGAATGACCGTCCCCACTTTTTAGAATTGTTATAGAGGTACATCAGAGCTAAAGAGAGATAATGATCTTCATACCTGGCTAGCAGCGTGGTGACAGGGGACAGGGCGAATGTACTCAGAGAAGCTGCTATATTAAAATGGACAGGTTTTGGCTTCCAGCAAAACTTACCTTTTCCTAAGGAGATGTTCAGAGAAAGCAGATATTGTGCTTCCCGTGGTGTATTCTGCACTGTGATGTTAGTTTTCAGAACTGAGTCAGGCCAGTCAAAATCAGGGTCTAGAAAGGATGAGAATTTACAGAACCTTGTTGTGATCTTTCATGTTTCCTATGCCCTGAGCCAAACCTTGCCACAGCAGATGTGACTGCAGGTTAGAGAGTTTTGGGATTCAGGCCAGAAGAAAATGCTGAAGGGAAACCTGGGCGTTGAATCTGAATCTGCAGCCTCCCTTGTCTCCCAAGGGGAAAAATATTTTTAGGTTGGTTTTGCTTCAGCATCTGCACAGCTGGCATTCTGGAAGACCACATATGAAGCAAACCAAGCTAGTCAAATTAATCAACATTCCATTTTTTGTTGTTGCCGATTAATCAGCAGAGGAAAGCGCTGATCACGTTTCATGTACTTGTCTTCTGAAAGTTTCCCATAACACAGGAAAGAGTGTTTATACTGTGTACAGAGTAGTGTTTGGCAACAGCTTCAGGGGATCACTTTCCATGTGTATATGTCTTTGTTCTACCTCAGAGGTCTCTCATGTGGGTCCTCTGGATTTTCTGATCCATTCTTCTCTGTTACTTAAAGCTTTGTCCTTGAAAGCTTGGAGGAGGAAACAAGCAACAGAGAACCCTCAGGACATGATGGTTCAAAGAAAAATAGTCCCCTGCTGTTTACCTCCTACTTCTTGAGACTCTGATGTACTTGCTCATACCTCCTGCCTTGTACACCCTTCTGTCTCTGGGCATTGACCCACACACACCTCTCAGCCACTCTTCCTTCCCACAAGCCAGAGCTCTGACCTACGTCTTTTACACCAGCTTTCTGCGGCCTGCTGAAGAGACTGAGAGTTTTCTCAAAATTGCTATACTTTTTTTGAGTCTAGTTTCCTTATTTCTGATTATGCTATGCGTTTTGGGAGAAAAGTCTCCATATACATGGAAAAGATATGGCTTTTCTCCCACATGATAGCTATTCCTCATCTGCTCTGAGCACCACAGAGCCATCTCCTGCCTTCTGCTGGTCACACCAACTCTTTCTCCCACAGCTCTGTCCAACAGCAAGCTCCATGTCTGGGCATAAAGGACTGAGTGGAATGCTCAAGCATCATCTATTCCCTCCACATATTGGAATGACTCAGGCTCTGCTGAACTGCCAGTATCAGTCCTCCTATGTGTCATTACACAGCCAGCGTAATGTCGCTCATTAAATAATTTGTTGACATGAATTTGATTTTGAGCTCAACTACAATACCAGCAGTGTGGAAAGAGAATGTGATTTAATTGTTACCGAAAATTTTTACCACAGGGTTTTATGCAGGGTTATGTTTGGAAATGTCTGGCTGTGGATGTTATTTTAACACGTTTTAAAGTCTGTAGTAAAAAGATATTAGATGTTCCTCATCCTTGTTTTCCATTGTCACTCAGACAAGCCAAAGGCAACTAGCCTCTGCAAAGTTTAAATTTTCCCTTTCATGTAAAATTTTTAATACACTTACAGTAAGAATAGAGTTTTGTTTTTTTTTTTTAATGAGTTCTTAGGCATAGCAGGGAGTGTTTTGTACCTCAGTATGTTCCAAAAATGATGAGGGTCACATGGCCTGAGCAGGTCCCATCTCATCCCTGCTCTTGCTGCAATCTTGGAGTCTGGGACTTTTTATCAAATGCATTTTTAAAAACTGGCAGGCCAGGGATGTGTTCCCGCAGGGGGATGCAGTTGTATGCACACTCCTTGGCTCCTGCTCCCAGTCGAGAGGCCAAGCTCTGGCTCTGGGGAGAAGCTGTCCAGCCACACAAGCACATCATTGTGTCGAAGGTCATATCCCACCCCCAGAGGAGCCAAAACACAGCAAAATCTGGAATCCCAATCTGCTTCTGACCACACAGTCATCACCCTAGGAGCTAATTGCTTAGATTGGCAGAGTAAAATAGGTGGATTCCCCACCTGGCTCTTTCTCACTGTGCAGACACAAGCATGTTCACAGAGCTCTTGTGCATGCCTGCTGTGTTTCTCAGTCTTGCACCTAAATCGTGGGTTTGCTTAGATTCGCCTGCACAGTAAGCTACAGGGAATGCAGGAACCAGATAGTGTTGTTTACGCTGTGCATTTCCTTATCTATGAGCCCTGGAAAAGCAGGAACTGACTGTGCAGAGGGGCACTACCTACTTGGGAAGTCTGGCATCACAACTGCTTGGGGCAGTCTGCACAGGCAGGCTAAACCTGCCAGGCTGCACACAAGTGCTACTAGAAAGGGGAAATTCCATGTCTCCATGTCAAATACACCAAATTTGCTTCATTTAGTAAAACAAATCTACACCCATGTGGCATCTCTGGTCTCTAAATAAAAGATCCCAGGGTATGTATGGCACTAACTGTTGCTGCACACTCTAAGCACCTGTGTCTTTTTTTTTTTTTTAACCCTGTTACTACATCTGCGAAGCAAAAAGGTGTTCCTTCCCCCATTTCACAGGGTCAGGAGAAGGCAGTGGTCAGCCTGAGGCCATGGAGGGCAGTAGTGATGGAGCAGTGAGGAACCTTCCAGCCAGTCTCGGGGTGGTGGACTGAGGAAGAGAAAAGATGAGAAAGGAGAAAACCTGATTTAACAAAGAGTTGGCACAGAAAAAGAAAGCCTCTTACTGGTGATACTGCAAGTACACCGGACAAAATGCAGACATGCAGCACAACTTGTGTGAACGTGTGACACTGTGATCTGGAAGGAAGGGCTTGTGTATCCTCTGTCTACTCATTTGTCTCACTCTTTCTTGTCTTCATATTCTTTTCCTTTTTCTCTTGTGCATTCTGCAATAACATACTGAGAGTCGAATCCTGCAGCAACAAACTGACTTCCCTCTCATACCACAAACATCCCCTCCTAGAACTGAGTCATACCACCTAGCACCTTAAATTGTATTTGTTTTGGCTAAACTCTACAGGATGCTGTTTCATTTAGGGCTCAAGACACTCCTGTTCCCTTTGACACAAGGCATACTGTGATATCTGTGGTGGGGAACTGATGCATGGCCAGGATGCTGGCCCTGCTCCCAGCTCTGTGGTATGGGAGGACAGGCAGCCTGTCAGCGGGGCTGCAGCGCCCACACGGATGGAGTGGAGTTACTAATTCCTTTGAAATGATAATTTGCTCTTTGTTTTGTATGTCTTTCAGATGTCACCTGCTGGCTTCAGGAGGAAGGGAAAAATTAATGTGAAGAAACTATTTTAGTAACTTGCCTGGAAATCCAAGTACCTCTCTGAGCAGTTTGAACCACTTTTAAATGAAAACTTCAGCCGAAAAAGAGCTGGGGCTTCACTACGGGCAGATGTAAAACAGCAAGCAGCTACCGAGGTATCTTGGGAGAAACTGGTTTGCTCTTGGGCAGAAACCAAAAACAGTTGCTCCCCTCTCTGCCCATCCACTACCTATAAGACTGAATTCACTTTGGCAGCCCCCAAACCCAGCCTTGCCCTCACTGTTCATGGCTGCAGTCAGGTGTGGAAGGCCACTGAGCTCTTTTCTTTCTGTCCCTGCTTTTGTCTCATATATAGGTGGACCTGGATTCATATTGAGCAGGTGTGATATGGTGTAAACTGGTTATCATGTTTGGGGTAACAGGACTCTGTCCTTTACATATGAACCACTTCTGGGTTAAGCCCTCTAGAGAAAGCAGTGGCTGCTGGCTCGTCCCTTCAGGGAGGTAAGTTTTGAGGTGGCAGTTGTGACATTTGGGTTCACTTTAATGCAGCGTCATAAAAACCTGTCTGCATAATTTTTTTCTCGCATTTGATCTGACTCCTTTCTCCCAAGCCAAACCACTTTTGCCATTTTCTAAGAGTTCCTGGTTAATGAAAGAGAATGGGAAAAATAAAATGTATTTTAGTATACTCCTAGCATAAAGAGCTTTTTTTTTAAATGAGGAAATAACAGATAAAAGGCTTCTTGAGTAGAAAGGGGAAAAGTAGGTCAGTAACATTAAATAAAAATGTACCTTCAAAAAACCAGAAACCTTTAGAGAACATGGAAAAAACATGTCTGTGTAACACTAAGTAAAGTAATAATTTCCCCTATTAACACACACTATAACAGAGCTAAATGACTGCACCACATCTTGATGAGCCTGTTTTTAGGAAGGTGAATCTCATGCTGCTTGATGAGAGGTTGCTAAGCACTCTCCTAGATTCATTAGTTATGTAAATAGAGGTGTAAAATAGTCCCTTTCTTGCCAGTGCCTAAACAAACTGAACTTGGACCCTGGCAACTATAAATTAATCCCACTGCTTCCTAGAAGTCTGTCAGACTGATGGGATTTTTTTTTTTCTTTTGAGTGGGAAAATATGCTATTTGGAGAGAAGAAAAAATATCCTTGAGTTCTTGGCTGCCTTCTTGGCATACGTGTTGTGCAGTGGGTTTAGGTATTTTTGAGTAAATGTGAAAAGTATTGAAGGGGATATTTTCCTCCTGGGATCAAGGTACACACCAACACTCACTTCCATCGTGTCCCCAGGCACTACTGTATTACACAGTCTTACAGTGGTGCATGAGTTTCAGAGACAAGTCATTGTAAATACGAACTGGAAAGTTTTTCTGTTTCTCTGGTTATCTTTTTGAGAAGTACTTGATGAAGCCAATTAAAAAGAAAAAAACTAGCCTCTTTTTCTCAGTGGAAACCAGTCCTTTTCTTGCAATCTCAGTGTTCAGTTCTTCCAAAGAAACAGCCATATGAAAAATGCAGCTCTGATTTACCTTTGAATTTCAGCAGACAAGTTCTTTTTTCTATTTTTGCTCTTTCTCTCCATCCTCCTCCCAAAATTTGTTTTCTCTTACCAAACAGAGAAAGAAAAAGGTGAAAAAAATCAGCAAAATTAAAACCATTCTGAAAATTAAAAGTTTCAAATACAGAAATGTTTTTGATTGGTTGGTTGGTTGGTTTTTATTTTGGTAAGCCAGAAAGTGTGTTTAATGGTGATTCATAGGACTTCAATAAACAAACAATAGCAACTGTCCTGCGTGGACAGTCATTCAGTCCTATTCTTTTCTGAGATCACAGAAAGAAAAGGAATTTAAAACTTCACTATTTGGAATAGTACATTGCACTCATTTTCTGTTTGATCTCATAGCTGTCAAAGCATCAATCCTTGATAGCTGGCGCTGTTGCTAAAGTGTTTGGCATAGGCAGTTTGTCATGTGATGATGTAATCATGATTTATTATGTAGTCTGTCATGGCAAGGCTGGCACTTTGTTACTCACAAAAAAGGGAGGTAGGTGAAATCCCATTCCCTTCTCAGTGCAAAGGTGTCAATAACAAGGGCCGTGTCCAGCTGTTGCTTGAGGCAGCAGCCAGGAGCCTGGATCCCCATCGCTGGTGCCTGTACACCACCTGCCATGGGCAGCTATTCCCTACTCACCGTAAGTCCCATAGTATAGGAAAGAGTGTGCATGTCCTCATGAGAAAGGCTTGCAACAAGAAGCACATTCTTTCCCTCACTATATCCCTTTCCTCCTTTAAGCTGTTTCATTATGCCAAATAGCCATATTCCCCTCACACCTCTATAGGTCCCTGCCTGTCCTTCCAGGCCCTGCAAGCACCGTGTCCATGGCACCACAGAAGCCGGCAGGGCTAGGTGTCATGTGGGAACCTGATCTTCTATCCAGAGGAAAATTCTGACAAAGTAAGGTTTGGTAACATGGAAGAGCCAAGTGCACTTTGGACTCCAAGTGCATTTCTTTGTGCAGGATTGACACCACTGACAGTTCTTATTCACAGTTAAATCTGACCAAGAAAATTACACATTTACTCTCAGTTTGGGTTTGTACATAATCAGTTTGTACATAATCAAGCTAGGTCCATAAACGGATCAGTAGCTACTAAACCTCCTAAACTCATTGCATGTAAGACTATTTACAGATTCAGACTATGAATATATATTTGTACAAATATAATGGAAAAAAAAAATCAGTCCTTAGCAGTTAACTTTTTATTTAAGTTCAATAAATATGTCCTTTCAGCACAGTGTAGATTTGTGAACATTGATTCTCATCCCCTTGCCAGCAATGAACTATTTGGCAGGTAGCTCTGCTCCTGCCCTTCCTCTTTGACAAGGCTGACTTTATGCAAAACACTGAAGCACTGGGCACAGATCATTCAGCGATTTCTTTAACAACCAGTGATGACTTTTTTCTTCGAAGGCAAAGCTGCATTCCATGCTGTTCCATAGGTTTTTCAGAAAGCTTCTTATCCAAGTGGAACAAATGCAGTCTGGCTCATTGCATTTTCCTGGAGATTTTTTAAATTTTTCTGAATGGAAAAACAAAAAGGGTCAAGTTTAATAAATTCAGTATTGTTCATTTTGCACTTTCTCTGGGATTTATTTACTTTGGAGTCAATTTGTGTTCACTCTCTGCTCCTTTACACAAGATGCTTAAGGACATTTTGTAATTCAACATAGCATAATGCTCCACTTCCTCTTTGCAAAGATAATGAACAGCAGATGACTGTGCGGAAGGATCCTTGCTACCTTCAGGAGGGAAGTGATGCCAGGAACTGGTACTGCCATGCAGGTTCTACACGCACAGTGACGATGCACACTTGCCATGATGCAAACTGGCACAGGTAGGATCACTTCTGTTCCCATGTCATTAGCAGAGGAGGAAGAAAACATTTTTACTTGTCTTATTAGATATTTTGAGTTAATAGGAATTTAAAAATTGATGGATAAAGAGTGTGGTGTTTAATTATGGCTGTAGCTATATGTGCATAGATTCTCACAAGCAAATACTACTGCTTATAGGTGACTGCTCTCCACTAGGCCTTTCTCCATGTATTTCAATGGTCTCTCCTTATTCCATTTTCCCATCTGTAAGCACATGTCATCCATGTCTTTCTCACTTTTGTTGACTCCTTGGCACTTCCTCCACAGTTAAAATGGGCCTAGAAAAAATTTCCTGGATCACAAAGGTCGGTCCTCTCATCTACAACCATTATATAATTGTGTCCAAGTCCATATCCAGGTCCATCCAGGAAGCAGGGAGACTTGTCCTTGCTGCACGTGTTTGGAGACTGCTTTAGCACAGGGCTACCATAGGAACAGTTGTGAGGAACAGGCTTGTGATTTCCAGAGTAAGGATAGTTATTGCTAGTTTATACTCAACTGAACTTTGTAATTGGCTCAGGCTGCTTTTCCCCCCATCTCTCTGCTTATTAGTGTACATTTACATGCATTTACAAAGGACAGTCATGACTGTTCTCAGCCTTGGCTTCTCTTCGGTTGAAAATTCTGACTTGTCCCATGTGGTGTGTTAAGACAGTCTCCCCAGCAACCCCACGCATACCTCCAGCATCTGCTTCATGTTCAGTTCATCTGTTTCTTCAACTCAGAACACGGCTGAGGAAGCTGTGTACACCATCTGGGTTTAAGAGAAATCTTTGCACTGCCACTTCCTGCTCCATCCTCCACCTGCTTGATTCAGGATACATAATCTGCTTTGAGGGGCATACATCTAAATATCTGAAGTGCAAACATAAAGCAACTTACAGTTGTATTAAGAGAGGTTATCTGAGCTATTAGACTCAGTATTTCCTTTTCTGTTTTGGGGGACTGTTCCTCAATTTTTTTGGACTGCCAAACCTTCTTGCCACTTATATGTATGTCTTCAAGCTATAACCTTGCTAACATAGCAACATCAGTGCCAAATTAATTTCCAACCTTGTAAAAGCAAGCTAATAATTGAGGTAAACACTTCACTGTAAGGATGTCCCTTATAGGGTTCGTGCTTTGAGTAGTAATATAAACCAGGCTGTACACAGCATTAGCCAGGCACGCAAGGTATGATTGTATGGGGTTTTTGTACAGTAAGATTTTAAAAGAAAGGAAAAGCTTCGAACTCCACCTTAACTTTTGTCTAAGTGGAGTTATACTTGCTTCTAACCTTGTTATCCTATCTATTCTGGTCTGGTTTTTGGGATCATGCTTTTCAATTAAGGACTGAGTTCAAGAGAGAACTGGGAGGTTCTTGGAGAATAGTGGGACTGGATTCAGACCCTTGAAGAATCAAAGGTGGAAAGTGCCTGATGTCTGCGGTCATCTGGAGTAAGCTGACACTCCCTTCACTGAGGGTTTCCCGTTTCAAACAGTCTCTTCATGAAAAGGCCAGAAAGAAGCCAGCTTCCTGGTTAAATCATGGGGGGCTATTGAGTAGAAATAAAAGGAAACAGTGTCAGACCAGCTACGCAGGAACGGTAGCTGGAAAGTGTGGAAAGAAAGCATTAAATTTTTTCACCTGCAGTTAAAAACAGTGTTTCCTGATGTATATGGACATTACAAAAACTATTTTTCTGTTATCGTTATGAAAAAAGCATTGGGACGGAATAACCATATATAACAGAAAACAGTTGCAACAAAGTGTAGTGGGAAAATGCAGTTTGAAAACAGTAATTTTAGGGGTAAATGGGTTGGACTTGAATCTTCTTGCTTTGGAAATCTTTGCCCTATTCTTTGTAGTTGGCCCATAAACTAAAGTATTCTTTGTCTTTCTTGATTGTCAATTTCATTGCAAGGAGATAAAAAGATGACAGGAATGCAGAAATGTTAATAAACAACATCCATGGTGAACACACCTCTTCAAATGTGCACTTAGAGGAAGAAGTCATACGAAATAGAAAGCTAGGTTGTGCAGAATAAATCAAGTCCTTAGTGCTGGAGTGTCTTCGTCAAACTTGTAAATGATTGCTACTTGCTCAAAATTCAGTGGCTGAACTGACTGGTCACAGTATTACAGCTTTTTAAAGGACACAATGTAATGAAACACCTCTTGAGTCCAATTAGTCTGTTACTAGTCATGACTGATCTCCATCCTTCCCTGAAGAAAAATTAAAGAAGCTCGGAGGAATCCCACTGCTGGACCACTTCACATATAGGATGGGTTTGTGTTAAGTCTCTCTTGCTAGGAAAGCATCTCAGCTTCTGAGCCCACACATGGTCATGAGAACAAATTGGTGTTAACTTTCCACAGACTTCCGGTGTTCACATCTCTGTTCCTGTGGATATGGCTTGAATCTTTCACAATACATATGGTTGATGAAGGTATCAAAATACCACCAGGTGCCACAACACTCTTGAACATTTTGGATAAGGGATCAAGGGCACTCAAGAGACTGATGAAGGCAAAGTAAGTCAGTGTCTCTCTACTGATCCCTGATTCTAAAATCATATCTCATGATGGATGTGGACAACTTGTGGAGGATGCTGAGGGCAGAGAGACTTTTTCTTTAATCTCCTAGGCTTCTGCTCTTTAATCTAGTAAACTTCTCTTCCCCTTCCTAGTACCACATGTGCAGCAGCCTTGCTGAGTAGCCACACACGAGCACTGTCCTACCTTGGGGGAAAGGGAGATGGTGTAGAGGTGGGGACACCATGGGAACAGATGTTGCAAAGTACAAGAAAACTGAGTTGCGAACAGTGTCATTAATCCTGTGGAGATTAACCTTATTATCACGGATTTCATGAAAGTATCAACAGCATTAAATTCATTATTGCATGCATTCGGGATCACTGTCCTGTGGTGGTACTGGTGGATTACTTGGTATGACTATGGATGTGACGGCACTTGTGAGAATGAGTGGTAAATTAGTATTACTCTTTTCTTGGTATTCCCCTGGAAACAAACTAATTCCCCAAACAAAGTAAAAGCAAGTAAAAAACTCACAAATTAATGGATGTGAGTCTACAGTAAAAAACAAAATAAAAATGAGGAAACACTGATGCTTCATCCCTTTCTAGAAGAAGCCAAGGCCAAACTCCCACCAGTTGCCTTTAATCTAAGTCACAGTAATAAAAGAGGTATCATATATTATATCCAAGATGTGGGGAAACATCATTATGTGCTCTTTAGATTGATGGGGTCAAAGTGTTCCATGGCTAGAGAAAAGGCAGCCGTAAGTGACTGAATGAGACAGGCACCATAAATGGCAGTGGACAGCAGGGACTCCAGCTAGTCCTCTGCTCTATGTGGAGCAGTGTGAGGACTTTATCCAAAGCCTGCCACAGTCTTGAAATCTTTTGACTTTTCTGTGTCTTAAATCAGACGTTATGTGCACCATTCATCTTCTTTGCCAGAGATACTACATCTACTCTTTCTCCATCAGAAACAATTGCTATGACCAATGTGACAGATTTTTCTTTTAATGGTGTGCCATGTTTGGGTACTCTGTTTTCAAGAGACCTTTCAGTACTTTGTCCTGAACAAATGAATGGTAGGAAGCTGCAAATTTCTGTTACAGTGACAGGCAGAGCTGTTGGACAGTATCACAATATAAAGATTTTCTTTTTATTTTTCAAAAAAGACCCCTGGCTTTGATCAGTAATGACTGGGGAAGAGGTACTGTGTCGATAGCGCTAATCCCTTCCACCACGGCCTTGCTTTCAGTGAAACTCCCAAATACTTGTGTCTTCTCCATGATTTACAGTGCTGAATTTTCCAACCTGCAAGTGGCAGTGAGGAAGGTTATCCCAGCTCCTAGAAACAAATCCTCGTTGTAACAGAAGTGAGGTGTTTGCTTAGCAATACCATGGACTTTCAGATCAAATCCACTCTCTGGAGGGGAACAAAGACGCCCGCATTTGACCTCCAGAGGGAATTTCTTTGTTTGAGTTCGGTGAGGTGCTTGCCAAGGTCAACTGTGAGCAAAGAAAGAACTCTGCAAAGAAGCCAAAACCAAAATTTGATAAAAAAGAAAAAGAAATCCCTTTCTGTTTTTTACTGTCAATGTGTAGGAGCTAAGATGTATCTTCCAGTTTGCACTACTTGGAAGTAGGGATTCAGACCAGCTACCTGAGTTCATTCACAGCTCATCTCATCAAGCACAGGCTCATCTGATATAACAACACATGCTGGACAGCGGAACCTGGGAATTCTTATGTGTAGCAGAGCAAACTATCCTGTGGCAGGAGGTAGAGGAGAAGTGGTACATCTGTGTGGCACAGTTGTGTGAAATTCTGTCCAGCTTCACAGCACTGGATGAAGAGGTGAGACCCTCAGGCAAAGACATGAACTGTATTTGATATTTCTTGATGCCAAGGCAGTGCTGTCACATTAGCCATACAGAGGATGCAGTGCAGTGTATAGTCCAGGTTAAACCTGCAATCTGTGTGAGTCCATAGAGATATTTAAATAGTGCAGTTAAACTGCAGAGCCTCTTCCACTCTTCTGATCCTTCACATCTGTCAAATCCAGTAGTCATTTGCTTGATGCCTCTGAGCCGTCTACACACTTACTGTGAGGAGCCCAAATATCCTCTTTCTTGGGGCCTTTGAAGAGAAGAGTTTAAAAACACCTTAGTCCCAAGTTTTTTACCTTGGCATGATTCCTATGGGACCTTCTCTGCTTGAGATCTGTTCTGTCCCTGTTCTTCTCCAGTGCTGGATTTATGAAATCTCAGAGGCCACCAGCACTTGCTAAAATGGTGAAGCAGCAGAGTGAATCCCATACCCGTCTTTGTCCAGGGACACCGTCTGCTTAATATCTGCTACTATGAGCTAGAAGCTATCCCAGTCCAAGTGTGGTGCTTTAATATAGTGTAGATTAATAGAAGGATTAAATGTGAG